CATATCATAAAATCTAATTTTATTTTTAGTTAGTTTAATTTTAATTTACTTAAAAGCTATATGAAGCATCACTGACAAGACGCGACAGTGGGGTGTGCGTGCGGGTGATGAACTCTGTGCTCTGTAAAACTCACAGGATGAAAAGCCAGAAAAAACCCTCAATTCCTCTGCCTTACTTTAACTCTGATCAACACCACTGCCTTGTCCACTGATGACTTCTGTGAAGTGGGAAAACTCCTATTTACAGACATTCACTCCACAGAGATCACACAATATTCTGAGATGAACTATAGCTAAGCATATCCGTAAGGGGAAAAGTACTTATATTTTAGTGTGCGCTGGGGGATTTCCAGTTTTTCTGAAATTAACATAATTTCTTCAGAAAGCATTAGAAAGAACAGCTGAATAACTTACTTTGGGATGATTAAGGCAGGGAAAATACAAGAGACACAGACAGACAGAGCTGTTTTATTCTGTCTTGCTTGAAAAGGACCAATTCCAGATTAGACTAAGATTCAATCTATGAAGTTAGGCCAAAGGGGGACACTGTCAAGTGGGCTGTATGAAGTTAGCTTTCTAAAGCCATTTTCGTTAAGAAATTTAATTTCTCTAGTTCCCTTTCCCAAGGTGAACAAGGACAGACCTGCTGGGTTAACCTGGGTTTGTACCCGGGCTCTGAGTGCTTCTGGATTAACCTTTAATCCAACCCAAAATGGTAGCCTCTGACTTCCTAAGGAATCTTTTGCTCTCTCTCCTTAACCATTCTCTGGCCTTTTAGTCTCTGCCGCCCTCTCTGGTTTTCCTCGCTCCTCTTTCTCTCATTTCACCCCACTTGGCAAAAACACGATCCTTCTATAACTTGGCTGAGAAGGGAAGATCCAAAGGAGAGCATGGAGGAGAAAGGATAAGCTGAGAAACACATGCTCCTGGTCTTAAGGGTCGACTGGAGACATGAGGCTTGGACAGTCAGGAAGGCTCCTACTAGGAAGAACTGGGGACAGGGACTGTCTGGGAAGGAGGGAGTTCTGAAGAGAGCTCTGGAGAAGCCCCCCTTTCTCACAGGGTTTCTCACAAAACCACAGCTGAAAGGAAAAAGAAAACTGCACCACTGGCCTTTTTCCGAGCGTGGCCGCCTTCCGCTCGGCTCAGTGCCCGCCACACGCCCAGGAGTGCGTCTGGATCCTGGAGGGCTCCCTTCGCAGGTGACAGTGCTTACGCTACACTGGAAGAGAGCCAGAAAAGCGCCCATGAGAACCAGAAAGCAAACTTCCACCAGCAGGATCATCTCTCTAGGCACCTAAGATGGGGAATCAACACAGATATCTTGGCAGCGTCGGATGTCAGGAAAAGCGAGGGAGAGATAATCCCCCCTCCCCAGCTCAATATAATGGTGGTGGGAGGAAAGAAAAAATGTATCTTCTGTGACACATCTGCTGGGAGCAAGACAGAAGAGACTAAGTCGAGGCCAAATGTCTTCATTTCTAACAGACACAAGAAGTAACTAAAAGAAGAAAATGACCTGGGGTCTAAATCTAGTCATAAAAGAAAGGCTCTGCTACACTGGCTGGCCTGGAGAATTAAAGCTTCAGAATGAAAGCAACACCTTCCACCGCTCAGGTGAGGCTGCTCTTAGAGGACAGTAAACAGAGAAGAAAAAAAAGGAAATAACTTCGCTCTAAGATGTAAAAAAAAGTCAAGCATAAATACACCAAAAAAAGAGAGCTGACATTGTCAAAAGTCACGATCTTGTAATAAGTCACACGAAAAAGAGCTCATGAAGCTGAGTAGAGAACGTTAGACTTGACGTAAGAGACCTTTGGCAGTTCACAAACTTTCCTTCTCTTTAATTACTGTGTTTATAAGATGCTTGATATGATCCCACTTAGTAAATAAAACGGAATTAGAAGAATGCTCCAACAGATCAAAAAGACTAATTCCTACTTTACTGAGGTAGAACTAAATTCCTACAAACCCTGGTGAGAAAACTCAAAATCTCAGTCTTCCCAGGGAAACAAAAGGGCACCAGTTATCTGTTGGAACACTGCATAGCAGAGGCACCTCCAACTTTCAAGTAATGAGTTTCTCAGTTCAGGCTGCGAGTGCTGTCTGAAGGTGGCTAGCGACACCATCTCCTCTGCCGCGCAGCCCTGTGACATAGGCTTTCACGAGCCAGAAAGGTTTGCTGGGTTTCCCTCAGATTCCAAGTGACTAGGGCAAACAGCAAGCACAGGGACTGAAGAACCATCCCAGGAGAGCAGGCCGGTGGGCACAGCCTGTCTTCATCCTTTCAAAATTAGCCCACTATACAAGTCAGGTGTGTCTCTGACATACATACCGTTTCTTGGCTGAAGAGGACAGGTTCCCATTCTGGGAAACATGGTAACTGATGATAGGCAAGTTATTTCCCGGAAAATACCAGCTGGCAGACTGAATGACCTGGATGTACTTTGGGCTCCAGCACCTCAATTTTCTAAGATAACTGCTTCTTAAAATCTCCTCTAATCCAGAATCTGGTCAGAGCATGGCAAGCTCTCTTATCTGTCCACTTAACAGAGAGTTGACAGCTGACCTGTGTCTTTCCCCCCAGATTAAATTAGAAATTGTTCCCTTTGTCAAAGGGAACAGATGGGTTAATCTTAAGGATCAGTTGGGACCAGCCTCCCACGTGAGGCAATAATAAGGCTCCTAAAGACAGTGTGGCTATTTGAGGGGACAGAGGGACTAGACACAACCAGATCTGGTTGTCATCCAATCTTGGGCCTCTTGGAACCAAAAAAGGATTGAAAGAACACACATAATAGTAGACACCAACTCCCAGATTCCCCATCAACTCCAAGTTTTAAGGAAATGTGTTTCCTAGGACCAGAAAGCAAGGTCTCTTCTACTACGATAAAACTAAAACATGAAGCAACTCCAAAGGAGTGGAAAAGATTCATTCACTTGCAGGAACGGCTGCTCGCCTAGGCCTGCAGGGTGTTCTAACAGTGGGAGCAATGCCCTGCGCGCGTCCTCAGGCCAGACTGCTGGCTAAAGCCGGGCTGGGAAGGCGTGTACTCTGCTTTCATTAAAGGAAAAGAAACTGGCCGCGCAAAGGAAATGTGTGACATTCAGACTGAAGAGAAGACAGGAGGTACTCTGGACCCCACGGCGAAAAACAACTTGTGAAAGGCCACAAGAAGAGGAAAGGAGAGAAGCAAGGTACTGTATCTGAGGAACGGATCACCATCCGCCATCTCAAAAAGGTTACTTAACGAAAGGGGTGGATTTCTATAGTTTTTCAATAAACAAAAGAAATTAGACTATTTGAAAACACAAACAACCCCCAAAGGGTCCGAAGTACCACATTCAGCTCCAGAGACTTGATTCAACCTTGCACATCACATCCCAAACCTGTGAGTCACGTGCCTTCCTACTGGGTCACCAACAGCAGGCTGCTGTGTCAAAGCCTCTCCACGGCTCGCAGCACACTGGTAGCAGGTTCCCGGTAAGTTATGGGGCGTGGGTGTGGGCTGTGTGTCTGTGTGTGTGAGAGGGAAAGA